ACTTCCCCATAAATAACTTGCTGCATCACCGCAGCTTTATTCTAAGAAACCACAATCAAGAAAGAATAATTAGCCGTTTCAAATTCAAAGAAGAATTTGAACAAGAATTAGAACAGCTTTCAGTCCATAAATGTCAGATGCATCAGATCGAATCCTCAGTCATGTCATCATAATCACCATAACTTTCATCTTCCATAGCTGGAAGGTTGAGATCTAGCGTGTCAAAAACAGAACTTACCTGTTCCATGTTAGCAATTACTGCAGCTGAAGCTTGAACAGCCTCAGCAGGAGCAGGAGCAGAAGCAGCGTTATCTGCTGCAACCAAGTGTGATCTCTTATGACCACCAAGAGCTTGACCAGATGCAAAAATCTTGCCACAAATTGAGCACTCATAAAATTTGGATCCATGATTCTGAATTTTGAGTTCTTTGGTATCAAGAACTTCAGAAAAGGAAGGAACTTTGATCCTCATATGTCTTGCCCTGTGACCACCAAGAGCCTGGTAAGAAGGAAAGGTCCTGCCGCATGTTTTACAGTTATACCTGCTTTGCTTCTCAATCCCTGAAGCAACATAATGGAGATCCTTCCTACGAGAAGAGGCCTTTGACTTCCTCAGCTTGAGAGAAAATTCAGATACTGACGGAAAAGATTGAATTTTTTCGAGCTCGTTGATTCCAAAATCAAATTTTGGGACGGATGGAATCATTGCGAGCTCATTCATTTCAGAATCGCATTGTGGGAAACCTGAATTTGACTTGCGCTTCTCAACCTCATCGTCGGTAACCACTGAAGCCTTATCTGATGAATCTGTAACAGAACCAGCGCCTCTGGAGAGCATCATCAGACAAAAAGCACCCGCCGTTTGCTCAATCTCGTACGCTATTGATGAACCCAATGATCCGCTCCTCTCCATTGCATTAACTTCGCTATCAGACTGGGTCTCAATTCCATCTCCTCCCTCCTCATAACTTCCGTTACTATTTGAATTCTTATTTTTTTCCGCAAATTCCTCATCCTCTTCCCTGAGCTGATCCCCTTCCGTCTCAGAATGAAATTTCGTATGGTTAAAAAGAGAACTCCAAGAGCTGAATTTCTCCCCACACTTTGAACAGAGCATATCATTCTCATTCTCCATCAATTTCCATGTCTTCCTTGGATTCACTCTAAATCCATACCTGCGCATTGGCTCCTTATCAGAATTCGGAAGAAGATGAATCCTCATGTGTCCTCCGAGTGCTCTTCGAGTCGGGAAGCTTCGTTCACAAACATTGCAGCTGGGCCTACCCATCTTAGAAAAAAAAACACAGCTTAAAATTGAGAAAAGTGACCTGAACTCAAACTAGTCACAAGGATCCGATGAAATTCTTCTTTCTATTGATCTGCAGAGAAAAAGCTTGAGTTTTTGCGAGTTTCTTGGACAGGAAAGAAATCAGCGGTAGCTAAGTGCTTACGCTGCTTTGCTTGTTGTCCTCAAGAGCCCGATCGATATCCTTTTATTCTCAAATGGCTCTGATTTCTTAAAACAGATGACCGAAATCCATGCAGAAACTTGGCTGGAAGAAAAAAACGGGGAGAGAGGCCAAATAAAGGCTGCACGTGTACCTCAAATAGAGAACACTCTTGTGGATCGGACGGCTATGATGAAATTTAAAGACGGTTAGAGGGCGCAATAGCCCATCTTATTTTGGGTATTACATACAAGACACTCAATGCTTATGCATTTGCTGTCTTATACCAAAATTCTACTTTTTTACATTTATGTCATTGATACCTTTCATAACATATAAAAAATAATGCTATTAAGTGTTGCTAAATTTATCACATTCGAGAGATATATTAATATCTTAGTGTTATTAAGATCCCACACACACAGATGAAGAGAAATTCACAAAAAAACTATCTGACTGATCTGAAATGGTAAAAATCACGAGTTCTAACCCAGTTGAAATGCTTCCACCATGTCGATATATGTTGCATGTCTTTATCAGCCATTGACTAATATGAAATAGTCGTTGATGTGAATTTCACTAGGGGTGGTGGAATTTGTTTGAGAATTGTTGTCAAATTTGTTGTTATGAAGCGGACTAATAGAAGAGATTGAATGCTAAAAAGTTAAATGCCAGCATCGTCAATAGCGACAGTGATTGGGCGGTGGCGGAGGTGAGAGTGATGGCCTAACAACAAAGTTCCAGGGGTGCAACGACAGTGGTTTGGGGACAGCCGGATAGTGACAGCGGTCCGTCTGCAGCAGTGGTAGAGGATATACAACAGTGGTTTGTTGGTGGTAACGATCAAACGAAGGGGGTTTGACTCTTCTCAGGCAGAGTCGGGCGGCGGGAGTCTCGCAACTGTGACGGCTGTGTGATGACAGTGGCTGGGCAGTTGTGGTCAAATTATAGTGACGATGTTCCGACGATGATGATGGTGGTAGCAGTTGCGGGCAAACTACGTTTGTCAGGCAATAATGGTTATGTGGCGGTGGCGGCTCGATGATGATAGTCTGGCGATGGAAGCGACCAAACGATTGTGGCCCAATGGTGGCGGAGGCCAAACAATGGTGGTCCTACAGTGTTGACTGTGGTTCATATGATGCGGGTAGACGACAATGATCCGATGGTGGTTGTCGCTAGACGGCGGTGGTTTTGTAACAGTGATGATGGTGAGGTAGCGATGGCGGTGGCTAGTCAAAGTGGTCTGACAGTGGTGGAGCTCACGAACCCTCAAGAGTTTGAAGCTCTTTTAGCTTTCTTTTCCAAGAAAAATTACTAGGTGCGGACTCCGCACATGCATATTTTATTGTATTTTGGTTGTATCTGGGTATGTCAAAAAAAACTCTTTGTTTGCGAATTACTCGTGATCGGCTCATTAAGCAGCTCATGTTTGGCTCATTCGTTAAGTAAATGAGTCGAACACGAACGACCATTTGTTTGCTTTTGTTCAGCTCATTTTTGCTCGAAATAAGAAATTATATATATTATTTATAAAATAACATATTATATATATTTATATCTAAGTTTAAATCATAATAGTTTGTTTGGTTATGTGATGTAATGTTCTCTTTTGTACAAAGTTAGTGTAAATTCAAATCCAACACCCTATATCTATTTTTTATAATTAATTTTAATGAGTCAATTTCGAGTCAAACACTAGCCAAACATAAACAAGAATATTTAAATCGACCCGAACATGAACACATTCTTCACAAGCAAATTTCGAACACGAGTCAAATGCCAGTCAAGCCCGAGCTCGCTCAGCCTCGGCTCTTTTACAGCTCTAGTTATATGAATACAACCAATACAATAAAATGAGCATGTACGTACCCCGCACCTAATACTTGCTCCTCTTCCAGGTTCAGGTCACTTGCATGAAAACACTGAATGTATATTTATAAATTTTGTGGGTGACATACTTTGTAAATATTGCATAAATCAGAACCCCCCATCGGACGAGTCAGAATATTTGTTTGATCAGATAATGTTATATGAGCATTTAAGTGTCCTAAAGATGTCAAAATTGAGTGATGTTAGACTCATTAGATTCATCTCATAAAGACATTCAATTTGGCAATAAACTTATTAGATTTGACTATAAATAAATGGATCATAGATAGACAACTCACAAAAAGAAACTAGTAATTGTAATTAAGGAAACTCTAATCTGAAAATAAAATATTAACTTATGATACGCAATATCTCTAATTAATTGGAATTAATGATCATTTCTCTAACTAATCATAGAAATTTCTTGGCGACATATCGTAGGAAGAAATTTCTATCCTCTGAGACGGATTCTCAATATGTTTTGGTAAGAGATATTTGAAGTCTGAATTCAGGATCATCAAAGCTCTAATTTAAACAATTTTATAGTTAAACTGAGCACCTCGATAATACAACCCAAATGGAACTGAAAGGGATCCAATCTAAGTCCAAAAAAGCCTTGGTCAAGCATTTAAAGTGCTATATAACTTTGGTGTATTAATTGGAGCATCAAACTATCTCTAAATTTGGCATATCTATTATCAAATCAAGTGGCTCGATAAGAGAAATTTAACTAGCCCAAATTCATTTAATTCTAAGGTTATTGATCTTTAGGGCACTTGAATGCCATAAAAATATATTATGATAAAAGAAAAATTCAACACAGACGGTCCAATGAAGTGTTTTAGAAGGTTCATTGACCAAATTTACGAAAATACCCTGCTCAAAAATTTTAAATTAACCTTCATTCTTCAAGTATGTGTGAATGAGTACAAATTTTCTGAATCATTATTAGTAGTTGATGTAGCTACCAACTATGCTTTTTATAGCCAACTACAGCTCTTGTAGTTAGTAACTATGGTCGTTATTCGTTTAAGCTAAGATATAATTATATTATATATATATATATAAACACACAGACACAGCCATGGATTGAACAACTCAATATTTTTTAATAAAAAGATTTTAAAAGTGAAGAATGCAAAACCTTAAAAACTGCAGGGAATTCTGAAAAAAAGGAATCAACTCAACCTTTTGAAATCTTCAAGTTTCCACAAAACAGAATAACAAACCTTCATGACTCCTTAAAAATTATAAAAAGCAACAGATTTTTATTCAACAATTAACTGAAAAATTCACTTCAAATCTCAAGGAAATAAAAAAAATTTAAACATAAAATTAGAGAACACAACAGCAGAAATAAGAATGTGCAGAAGTAAATCAACTTCACCATAAACAACTTGCTGCATCACGGCAGCTTTATTCTAAGAACACCACAAACAAGAAAGAATAATTAGCCGTTTCAAATTCAAAGAAGAATTTGAACGAGAATTAGAACAGTTTTCAGACCATAAATGTCAGATGCATCAGATCGAATCCTCAGTCATGTCATCATAATCACCATTACTTTCATCTTCCATAGCAGAAAGGTTGAGATCAAGCGTGCCAAAAAAAGAACTCATCTGTTCCATGTTCGCATTTACTGCAGCAGAAGCTTGAACAGACTCAGCAGAAGCAGAAGCAGCGTTATCTGCTGCAACCAAGTGTAATCTCTTATGACCACTAAGAGCTTGACCAGATGCGAAATTCTTGCCACAAATTGAGCACCCATAAAATTTAGATCCATGATTCTGAATGTTGAGTTTTTTGGTAGCAAGAACTTCAGAAAAGCAACAAAATTTGATCCTCATATAGCTTGCCCTGCGACCACCAAGAGCCTGGCAAGTAGGAAAGGTCCTGCCGCATGTTTTACAGTTGTACCTGCTTTTCTTCTCAATCCCTGAAGCAATATAATGGAGATCCTTCCTATGAGAAGAGGGCTTTGACTTCTTCAGCTTGAGAAAAATTTCAGATTCAGACGGAAAAGATTGAATTTTTTCGTGCTCGTTGATTCCAAAATCGAATTTTGGAACGGATGGGATCATTGCGAGCTCATTCATTTCAGAATCGCATTGTGGGAAACCTGAATTAGATTTATGCTTCTCAACCCCATCATCTGTAACCACTGTAACAGAACCAGCGCCTCTGGAGAGCATCATCAGACAAAAAGCATCCGCCGTCTGCTCATTCTCGCACGCCATTGATGAATCCAATGATCCGCTCCTCTCAATTGCATTAACTTCGCTATTAGACGGTGTCTCCATTCCATCTCCTCCCTCCTCATAACTTCCGTTACTATTTGAATTCATCTCCTTTTCCTCAAATTCCTCATCCCCTTCCCTGAGCTGATCCCCTTCCGTCTCAGAACGAAATTTCATTTGGTTAAATAGAGAACTACAAGAGCTGAATTTCTCTCCACACTCTGAAAAGAGCATATCATTCTCATTCTCCATCAATTTCCATGTCTTCCTTGGATTCACTCTAAATCCATACCTGCGCATTGGCTCCTTATCAGAATTCGGAAGAAGATGAATCCTCATGTGTCCTCCGAGTGCTCTTCGAGTCGGGAAGCTTCGGTCACAAACATTGCAGCAGGGCCTACCCATCTTAGAAGAAAAAACACAGCCCGAAATTGAGAAAAGAGACCTGAAATCAAACTAGTCTCGAGGTTCCGATGAAATTCTTCGTTTTCTATCGATCTGAAGAGAAAAAGCTAAAGCATGGATTTTTTGCGAGTTTCTTGGACAGCAAAGAAATCAGCGGTAGCTAAGTGCTTACGCTGCTTGGCTTGTTGTCCTCAAGAGCCCGATCGATATCCTTTTTATTCTCATATGGCTCTGATTTCTTAAAACAGATGACCGAAAACCATGCAGAAACTATGGCTGGAAGAAAAAAACGGTGAGGAAGGCCAAATAAAGGCTGCACGTGTACCTCAAATAGAGAACACTTTGGTTGTGCATCGGACGGCTATAATTAAATTTAAAGACGGTTAGAATGCGCAATATCCCATCTTATTTTGGGTACTTGCATGCAAGACACTTAATCCTTGTGCATTTGCTGTCTTAACACCAAAATTCTACTTTTTTACAATTATATCATTCATATCTTTCATAACATATAAAAAAAATAGTGCTATTACGTGCTGCTAAATTTATCACATTAGAGTGATATATTAATATCTTAGTGTTATTAAGATCCTACACACACAAATGAAGAGAAATTGACAAAAAAACCATATGACAAATCTAAAATGGTAAAAATCATGAGTTCTAGTTCATTTTAAATACTTCCACCATGTCGATATATGTTACTAGTCTTTATCAGCCATTGACTAATCTGAAGCTATATTACACTTGTTGGAGTTGTTGATGTGAAGTGTTGTCAAATTGGCTGTTATGAAGTGGACTGATAGTAGAGATCGAGTGCTAAGAAGTTAGATGTCAACGTCACCAGTAGCAACAGTGATTGGGCAGTGGTGGAGGTGAGAGTAATGGCCTGGCAACAAAGTTTCATGGGCGGCAACGACGGTGATCCAAAGATAGTGAGAGTGGTCCATTTGCAGCAGTGGTAGAGGATAGACAACGGTGGTTTGTTTGCGACAACGATCAGACTGTGGTGGTTTGACGACATTATGACACAGTCGAGCAGCGGGGGTCTGGCAGTGGCGTCGGCCGCATTGTGACAGTGGATGGGCAGTTGTGGTCAAGTGATGGTGACGATCTTCCGAGAATGATGATGGTGGTAGCGATTGCGGCCAAACTACGGTTGTCAGGCAATAGTGGTTCGGTGGCAGTGGCGGTGGCGGCTCGATGATGATGGTCCGGCGATGGCAACAACTAGACAATGGTGGCCCAATGGTGGCAGAGGCCAGACAACGGTGGTCCTTTAGCGCTGAATGTGGTTTGGATGATGCGGTTAGACGACGATGATCCGATGGTGGTTGTCACTAGACGGTGGTGGTCTTGTAACAGTGACAATGGTGAGGTAGCGATGGTGGTGGCTAGTCAAAGCGGTTTGACGGTGGTGGAGCTCACGACCCTTCAAGAGTTTGGAGCCCTTTTAGCTTTCTCTTCCAAGAAAAGTTACTAGGTGCGAACCCCGCATGTGCATATTTTATTATATTTTAGTTGTATAGGTTGGTGGTGGAGCTCACGACCCTTCAAGAGTTTGGAGCTCTTTTAGCTTTCTCTTCCAAGAAAAATTACTAGGTGCTAACCCCGCATGTGCATATTTTATTATATTTTGGTTGTATAGGTTGT